CCGCTACACCAAAAAGTAGAAATACTAAAAGAAGTGTGTTGTGCGTGTGTCCTACTTGTCTAATTTAGCAGTTCTCCAATAAAAAGTGAGTGAAAGGTATAGCGACCAAACATGCGTTTGTCACAATTTAATACATGAGGTCCAGTTACATTCTTGACTAATAATTCTTATGATCAATTACTTCTTTTTTTTTCGTGAGCTCATCAGAGAAGATAAGGTTTTGCAGCCGCTAAGCAAGCAGATAGCATCTTGGTGCTCTTGTGCTATTTGTGCATATGTAAATGAGGTAATATGCATACATTTAGCACAAAATTATCTCCTCTATATGCAATAAGCCTCATTTTCCAGCTGGCTTACTGCGTGTTCTAGTAGTGGACATAATTTACATGATAATACCTATTATTAAGTTATTAACATTATTTAAATTCTTCACAAAGAAGAAACCAGATGATTTTCTTTTCTTTGGTGGTCTGGAATCTGATTTCACATTTTTCCCCTACTATGTAATGTGTTTTTATGTAATTATTATTGTTGATAATACAATTTGGATAACTTGTCAATAATAAGCCAAAGTCATAGAATTGTGGATTGTGTGTGAAAACTGTGACTGTCTGTTGAATAGAATTATTGTATAAGCACAATGTTTTTACACCTTTAGCCACTCAGACAATCTCTGTGTTATCATATTATCACAAACACATACTAAAATATAAATAACCAACTGATGATGTACTGTCAGTACATGACCATCTGATCGGAGCACTTCCTTCTTGCTGTAAACGCACAAGACGAACACACCCATGAACCCCCGGACCCCTTCCCTTTTTTTTGCAGCACTGTGCCGAGTTACTTCAGCCTTTGTTATTGACCTCTAGCATGCCATTTCAAAAAATGACCAATATTCTGTCATTTCTCTCCGGAAGTTGCTTGTCAGGAAAACACACTGTACTTCGAATCATTTCAACCAACAACCACTGCGGTTGTTTTTTTTCCTGCGGGTTCAGTCTTGTCCTCTTGTTTTTACGCGATGGTCTCGCCTTGGAGAGCCCTCGACTCTTCTCCTCGCAATAAACTACAAATGATACTGAAACAGCAGTACCCACCACCCAACGCAGCCTTGCTCCACTTCACTTGTCAGCTTAAAAAGATCAAAAGTCAGAAAAAAAAGGCAAAGAGGGGCAGGGGGGATAAAGCGCGAGAGGGGAAGAGAGCGGGCTTAAAAGGGAGACTACATGGAGAAGAACACAAGAACACAGTGTCCTAATTAATGTCCTCCAATAATCCACTCTGAAGCTTCCCATGCTGCTGGGTTTGATCTGAGCAATGTTGCTATCAAAGCCTTGTAACGTGGTCTTGTAATACGGGGGAGATCTCCGTCAGACAGCATTAAAATCACTCAGGGCAGTTGCTTCTTGTGGCTGGTGCTGTGAAGTCTGTAAGAGCAGAAATCAGGTGGCCATTTGTACCATCATCTCCTACATTAATGTAAAAATCCGAACTATAAAGTTCCAATTCCTCATTATAATATATAATACAAGTATTTCAGATCAAATGACTACATTATGTGAACGCTATTACTTATAGTAAGAGGGAATTATCACCAAAGTCTGCAGCACTACAGTGCTTTTTAGCCTCTTTTAGCTCATTATTTTGGTTATAAACGGCCGCCCACACCAAGAACAATAACTACATAATGATGAGAGCATCCACACTGATGAACGATAACGTTCTGTAAACAGCGGTGCCGAGCTGTGTCCGATACGGCCCGGATTATTAATTGATTATAAGGAGGCGACGAGACAGTTGTCATAAGGCTACCTGAGATAATGCTAGTTAGCCTACCAGCTAACGTTAGCTATTCATAATCGTCCCCCTAATATTAATATTAAGGGGAGTCTGATTGCTTCCCAAATGTTCTTCTTCTTGACAGTGACGTTATAAACACTGTTTCTTTTCAATCAACTGCTGTAACAATATATTTATAGTTGTCGTTAAAGTCATCGTCATTGGTGTGGATGGCCCTTAAGGAGTTAAAATTCTGCTACCTGTATGCTAGCGGCTGAGCACCAAACTGGAGACAGGACAAGATTAGCGACTAGCTTTAGGGTTTAGACACAGATATTTTCCTTTGGAGTAAAAACAGTCTGTTACAATTTGTATGTTTGTGGCTTTCAGCAGCGTCATGGGACCTGGTTCCAAAAGCCGAGATAAAGCTGCAGGACGCTACCTGCCGAGCACAAAGCAAACATAGTAGAGCATTAAGCATCTAAAGAGTCTAGCATTTCCCTCAGGAGTCAATGGAGACCAAAACGGAGCTAAAAGGGGAGTGAATATTAGAGTTAATGTTGTTAGATGGCCAGAAAACAGCTCTGAATGATTGCTAACGTCGCTCTATCTGGATGTTCCTAATAACAACTTTATAAGGTGATAATATGTTGATTGCCCCAAAATGGTCAAAATCATTTATTTCAGCTTGAATAACGTGCTAAATCCCCCAGAGAAGCAACAGGTGACCCAGATGATCAATGCCAGCACGGAAGACAAAGCAAACCTTGAACTGACAAATTGTTTTTGACTGACAGATAGAAAACATGGCAGTGAAAGACAATCCCCTCCCTGATGTTACCCTTCGGCTTCAACACAATACAAAGTGCTGCGGGATGTTTTGGTTGTATGGGCCAAAGCTAAGTGCATCCCAGCTACAACAAAGCATCTGAACGTCAATCCTGACTCACAAAGAGAGAATCCTATCGAATAAAACCTCTTATCAAATAAAACCTCTAAATGCCATTAGCGAGAGATAAAAGAAAGAACAAAATGGCAAGAGGATCGTTGCTAATTCAGCAAAAAGGGAAATCAATGGCCCTCTTCCTGTTATTTTTTGAGCTAACCCAGAGTCTGTCTGCCCTGTCAAGCATCCCTGACTCACCGCCTGCCAATCTCCCCCCCAAAAAAAGAAAACACAGGGTGTAGAGGAGCTGAGGGGCTTTGTGGGGGCTGCAACCGCCCGGAGCTCACACCTCAGAGGAGAGGTTGGAGGCAAGAAACTGTGACTCAAAAAATGATAAACATCTCACATTTCCTCTGTCAGTTCGGCTCTAAAAATACGCCTTCGCCTCACATCTCCTCCTTCCCCGGTCTCAAGGAGCTATGCAAATACAAGCACCTCCATTTTTTTTATTTCCTCATCCACTTTGTTTTCCTTCCAGCCCTCCCTCAAAGCCCCCCCCATATCCTATTGTTCTGAGTACCTCTTCTCCGGCTCTTGTAGACTACATGACAGAGCCTCGCCTTCCCTCTTGTTGTTCCTTCTCTCTCCAGGGTAGGGGGGGATGATAAAAGCTATTTACAAGTAACTGTAGGCAACTGTGGAAAAATTCTAGCTTTTTATTTATATATTTTTTTCTTACCCTGTTTTCTTTGATGGCAGAGCCATTTGTGAAGCTGCGTGGTGAACTGCAGCACAGTGCAGCGCAGTCCTGAGTGACAATTTAAAGGGGGGACTGAAGCGCTTTTAGGGGCTTTGACTACGCCAGCTTCTGCTTCAGCTTTTGGTTGTTTTTTTTTGTTCTTGAAAACGCAAGCAAGACATCAGTCCTGCCTGGCACGTGCAGAAAGGCAAAGACACAGCTCCACATCTTAAGACGCGTACAAAGCATTTAGAAGGCTTCTGAAGTTTCAAACGGAGAGAGAGGCTTGCAGCGACTGCAGGACTGTGTTTCTGGTATTAATCACAAGTTCATCAGCCTGTGGTCCGTTTCGGGGAGCCGCTCTGAGATATGATTGTGATGCACGTTGTGATTCATAAAGCCCAACAAAGACATTAAATGTAAGTGCCACTGGAAACACTGGCTTTCATGAGAAACGTAATGAATCTCCCGCCTCATCTTTCACTCGGCCGTCTCCCTCGCTGTGTGTTGATGATCACCGCTTTTCAGCCGACTCTAATTGTCTTTTTTTCTCTTCAGACTCTACTTGCCATGCATTGCCCCCCCCCCTTCCCCCTTTTCTGACTAACAATCTGCAACCCGGCCACCCCCATTTCCGCTCTCTCCCTTGATTGATTCTCACCTTTTCCATTCTTGCCGTTCACCTCATTAACGGAGCCCCCGTCTGCTCGTTTTCCTTTTCCGTCCCCCCCGGCCCTTCTTCACATCCTTTCCTGTCTATGAAGCGACGGCTGGCCCGGATTCGTGGTTTCCAGTCAAGGCCCTGCATCGTTCTGTAATTAGTAGGGAGCATAATAGAGAGGGTTCCTCATCAGCCGAGGTAGGAGGGGAGGGGAGGGCACCACCACCGCCATCCATCCATCCATCCATCCATCCATCCATCCATCCAACCATCCTTGAGTTTAATCAGCGGCACACAATGGGATGTCACCTGCTCCCAGACGCAGCGGTGGAGAGTGGCGGCGATGCTGTCACAAACCATTTGGGGTGAGGCAGCATCCATGGCGCCGGCTCTTTAAGGGCTCCTCTTCTTCCACGGTTGTCTCTGCTAATTTGGTCTCCCTGGGAACGAGGGAGAGAGGGAACCCGTGAAAAATCAAGCTCATTTAGTCGTGTTCATTTATTTATTTACAGACTCTCAATCCAGCATGCTCTGCTTTATTGGTTTTTTCCTTCCGACATCCCTGAGGAATCACGGATATCAGAGTGCATGAATGTTTGCTTTCATATGTGTGTGTGAATCTGACCCTCAATCAGTTATATGGATATAAATGGAAACATTTGTTTGCCTGCGATGGTGGAAAAACAAACAAAAAGCATTTGAAAATGTGCCGGTACACATGATTTATGGTTAAAGAGCTAACACTTACAAACACACTTGATTGATACAATTTTGTAGGAATGAACTGTACATCATGGTGCTGCTCAAATTACGGATCTGTGCACTTCTTTCACCACAGGTTACCTCTACTACACACACAGCTACACACACACACGGACACACCGGTGACAATGAAACAATGGCTCAGCCTGTTTTTCTCTGGTTGGCAGAGAGACCGACACGCTGCGGAGCCATGGGCTGCGGGCTGCGTAAGATGAAGCCGATGCTGGAGGAGAACAGTCCGGGGAAGATTTACTCCACCCTGAAGAGGCCACAGGTGGAGACCAAGGTGGGCGTGGCCTACACCTACCGCTACCTGGACTTCCTCATCGGCAAAGACGGTAAGACATGGACGTCTATTAATCCGCCTACAAGCAACGTTGAATAACCAGTGACCTTTATTGTTTTGGACAGGAAACGCAACTAATCTACTGTCATATGCGCCCAATCCTTTGAGTTTTAGCAGTAGTTTTTATTCCAAATAGAGTGAGATGCACCAATCCGACTTTTTCAGTCCTGATAACGATACCCAGGCTTTATTTATCTGCCGATACAGAGTACCGAACGGATTCCGATTTATAAGCTGTTTGCCCCACTGTGTGGAAGTGACTGGGATCATTCTTTTATGTGTAAGGCAACATTAGCCTCGACTTCAACATTGCTTTCCAAACTTTATGTACACATACTGAATTGTTAATAATTAATAGAATAATTTCTATGTAATTGTAAAATGTATATATTTTACATAGAATTGAGTCGAATAGATTGGCCCCGTTGTCACCGATATCTGATTCAGCTATTTGATTCAGTATCGGTCCGATATCCGTATCGGTGCGTCCCTAAATATAAGCCACCAGCTGGAGCACTAAAAGCCTGAAATCTCAGCATAGCAGTAGTTGCTATTGATCAATAATCGCCACAGCTACATTTCTGCAGCCATGTTATGGTCATTTTGTGCTGCCGGGTCGTAAAAATCTAAATTATTGCCCCTTGCACATGCACAGCTGAAATGATATGAATAGCTCATGGCCTTAGGCGTTCTGCTGCATCATACCTCAGTGTGATAAGAAGGCAATATGCATCACAGGTTTTGCAAGGGGCCGATCTGCATTGCAATCTACAACTCTTTGTGCTATGTGTGTAGTATTTTACTGAAAAATGAAACTTCCAGCATGATTAATCTGTCTACTCTCCCTCTGAAAATGCCATTATACCTGCGTGTCTCCAGTATAAAAGCATTAAGGATTCAGATGCAGAAGAAATCTATCACTCATGTATATGGAATTACAGCACACAGGATTTTCTTGTAATGATTGAGTGTTAATTTGCGCCTGCTCCCTGTATAGCAGCCACTGTTCTAATTTATTTTCTCACAATTAGTCAGTCATGCTTTCACGTTGTGCTAATGATATAGAATTTTCCAGCCCAATCCACGCCAAACACCCTGCTGGTGGCAATCAATTATGTGCGGCACCGAATCCAACCGGTTAGTGGGGGATTCAAACAAAGTAAAAGGTGGCCTGCTGGGTAGTAGTGAAACTATTTTGTTCAAGGTCAGAGGTTTGATCCTCGCAAAGCTGTTTCAGTTTGTTTCAGTTGAGGAGCTGCTGGACTGACCAGCCTGCTGAGCTGTAACCATGTCAATAAGTTAACTATGAAGATGACAGTCAAACAGCATCTGAGGCTTCCTGCGCTGTGCATGAAAATATGGAAATGAATCACTCCACTGATGCATGTACACACACACACCCACCCACACACACACACACACACACACACACACACACACACACACACACACACGCAGAGAAGGCCAGTAGAGCCCCCTCCTCTGCTTCCTTTCCTCAGCCCGAGGTGTTTATGAGATGGCAGGTGGGTGTTGCTTCCTGTGATGCCGAGACCAAAATCAACGGCTTGTGGTCTTTGTTGTGTGTGTGTTAATGTGTATTGAGGAGTATTCCTGAGGGTTCGTGTTGTTATGATCGAAAGTTAGATTTAGATATTTGATAAGGCGGTTAAATAAGATATATACTGTAGTTAGGCTAGTTATTTTGGGATAAATTAATTGAGAAACATTGGCACAAACTTTTTTTGATCTAACTCTAGAGACTTTATTGGCTGTGATTAGTATTTTTAGAATAATTATGTATATTAAAAGTTGTATCATATGTGAAAACATTGTGATATTGTGAATGGGGTTGTTCCGACAGCTTGGTCAGTCGCCCTATGCTTTCGGCGAACAGACATGGACGTGTCAGCTGCAGCGTGCCAGTTCCCTCTCTTTAGTGTCTTTTCAAAATAAACTTCCATGTTCATAGGACACTTAAAGTTTCCCCTTGTTACCTTCATACAGTTCCAATGTAGGCTTACTCTGTTTTTTGGTTTAATTATGCAATAAAACTACTGGTTAGGTTGAGGAAAAGAATGTGGCTTAGGTTAAAATAAGTATGTTTCTTGTGTAAAATAACTACGTTTGTTAAGCAGTGAAGTTACGTAAATCAAATGGTAAAATAAGTCAATGTTGACCTGGTTTCACACCGGACACTAACTGCAGTCTTGGGTGAAAGCTCCATTTGTTTGACCCGTCCTAAATCCTCTTCCACCCGCATACTTAAGACTTTCCTGCTCTTTACTTATCATCAGTTGCTCTACCCATCTAATAATGAAGCAGACGGGTTTACATTGGAGTTAGTTGAAAGTCTTCCAAATGCTAAAGTAGTGCGACGGTATCAGACGCAGAGAGGCACTGACCAGCTCCCTAGCAAACACAGGGAGCTGTGGATTCCCCGTTTTAATTGGACTTCAGTATTGTTTTTTGCGTGTCGACGTGTTGACACTAAAAGTCCACAGCTTGCTCAGCGCCAAAAAGCAGACATAGTAATGTTGTTCTACAACTTCTGGATGTGTAAATAAGCAACTGTCTGCTAATAAGCTCGTAAAGGTTATGATATGTCAACGCTGTGCCCTAAGATGCCCACAAAAAATCTTTTATTATACGTTTAAGAAATATGATTTACAGACAAACAAACCAGAATGAATGTCGGCATTTTTGGGACATCTGGAACTCTGTTTATGTATTGACTCCCAAAGCATTTGGAGCAAATTGGCATGGCTTCATGCCGACACATACAGTATATGCCATGTTATGCTTGTCTGATGAGACACAGTCAATATGTTTCCATGCATACAAATAGGTTGTTTGCCTTGAATATCCAGATTAAGTGTGTAATACTAATGAACTCACAAAGCACTTCAACACATCCACTATTCCTGATGATAGTCGTAACAGAAAAGCCATTCTGCTAATCCTCCCATAAAGTAGACCCACTTCGTCTTCCTCCACTGCTAAGCGTACCACTCATTTTTCAGACACACTGCTGTGCTTCCAGTTTACTCCCAAGACATTTTGCTACTTGGACGCGAAACCAAAACAAAGAAAGAGACCAGACTAAAGCATATATCAATACTCAGAGTCATTTTAAAGAGTAATCCCACTCCATTATTAAACTATTAGTAAGATATCTGGAGTTTAAATGACAATTGCAATTATCAAAAGCATTGTTCTTACGCTGATTATAATGAAACTATCAGAGCGCCTGTAAACACACCGAGTCACACGTCCTTCCGCCGGGAGAAGAAAGCTGTCAAATATATTGATTTACAAAGTAGAGCGTAATGTCATCTGCAAACTTCTACAGAATCTTTGAGCAGCCGATGGCTGCTTAGACGACAGACATCGGCACGGGGGTTGAGGTCAAGGTAAATTCAAGAGTGGGTGTAGAATTAGGATTAGATTAAGGTTGAATATATAATAGGGGTCATTAAGGTGAGCAAATGGGAAATTAATGTGCTCAGGGACGAGCACAGTGCGTGTTTGTGTGCCGTCTAGGCCAGGGAGGAGTCAGGGCGCTATATATAGCCATCACTCTGTTATTTCTGCTCATGACAGTTATCGCTAAAATTATGGTGGGAGGGGAGTCTGGTGGCGGTGGTGGGAGGGCGATACGGTGGGGGAGGGGGATGGTACGGGAAGCTGGGAGATGTAGTGAGCGGCGTGTTCGCCTTGACAGTTGATTAGTCTCCATTAGTTTGTCAGGCTGACTAGACTGGATGGATGGAGGAGCCGGTGAACGTGGGCATCTCGGGGCCAGGCGAGCTCCCCCCCCCTCATACAGGACCTGACATGAGGGCGGGGCTGGAAGAGGAGGCCGGAGGTGGACGGGTGCCTCCCTTTTGTTGAACCGTGTGTGTGTGTGTTTGTGTGTGTCTTTGGCTCATGGCCACGGTGTTATCTTCAAGCATTCCCTGTAATGATGGGGGTTGCTACTTACTGTAATCAGTTTCCTCTTACTCTGTCTCTCTGTCACTGTCAGTACGCCTCTGTCTGTTTCTCTGTTCATCTATTGAAATATGTGTGTGTGTGTGTGTGTGTGTGTGTGTGTGTGTGTGTGTGTGTGTGTGTGTGTGTGTGTGTGTTTCCCAGAGGAGCACATTAAGTTTGAGAAATCAGAGTGTGTCTGAGCTGCCCAAGTGGCTGAATCGTTTCACTGCATCAGCAGGTTTTCTCGGGGTTGAAGGGTTAGCGTGTTGTAATTACTTTGGACCAGGTATGTAAGTGTAGGCAATGATTCATGTGTCGGATCTTTTTCTACAGGAAACTTGTAAAATATTTAAGACGCAGTCAAAGATTATGAATATGAAATACTCTCCCCGGTAGGGCGTGCACATATATTCAGATACAGTGTGAGCTGCACAAAAAAAATCTGGGATTATTACTTGACAATTGGCTCACAGCTGTACAACTGTAAAGATAATTGTGTTAATTGGTAGTTCCTCTACTCGTTCCTGAAAGGTACTCACAAAACACTTTGCACTGTATGTATTTCCGCGCTCATATAACCGTTGGAAAGCTCAGATTTAAAAAGAGAAAAGGAATCCTGCATTGGTTACACCCAGGCCTGGGATTTAATAATTTCAGGGGCAAGGCCACTTGGCCTTTCGTGTGGAGGGCACAACCAGGGCAGCAAGGACATCAAATAAAACTATTGTTCTACAGTAAGTCCATGGAAATAATGAACTTAACTTCAGGGTTAAGAATGATTTTAGTTGAAATACATAATAGTACTATTAGTGCAATTCCAACATTTAAAAACATTTCTTAGTGGTATGAGTAAAGTTGTTTATTGTCATCTAATACTTTGTTGCACTGTAGCCTACAGACAAAGTTACCTTACAAGTCTTGAATTAAAGAAGTGTGACTGTGTTTTAGTTGTTAAAAATGCATTCATCCTCATAATCTATTTCTCATGGAGTGCACGTTAGTAGGAGGAGAACGGCCGCA